TTCCCTTACTAACATTTGGCACGACACTCAGAAGTTTCTGTACTGATATCACATTCCGTGTATCTGGCGACTGTTGCTGATTTTTGAACTGGCTGGAAACGGATTTTTCTCTGTCTTTGGAGGAGCTTTGCACCTCTATTATGGGTTTGGACGGTTTTATAGCAACCGGAGAATGCCGATCTTGAAACATTTGATTTATATTGGAGTTTCTGGCGACAGCACTTGATCCAACCTTGCTACTGGATGGAACTCCAAATTCTAATTTGCTCTGGAATAACTTCTTGGAAGATGTGGCCAAATTTCGCTTTTTTGGACGTTTCAATTCAGGACTATGAATATTATTTTTTAACTCCTTCCTTACTTGAGTACTACACGGCAAATCTGCCATTCGTTCATCTAGATGATCTAAATGCGAATCAATATCTATGTCATCAAAACTGTCGTCTAATACTATCACACAATCTCCTTCTGCATTGGGCGCAGCAGAATTTGTTTTTAAATCTTTAATATGTTTCGGTTCAGTAAAGTTACTTTTCTGTGCATTACGGACGTTTGTTGACGGTATATCAATTTCATTTAAATGCTGATTTAGTATTGAATCGTCAAATTCCATTTCGTCAAAGAGATCTGGAGATAAACAATCCCTATTTGAATCAGGAATATTTCGATGGGAGTTTTTCAAATTGCTACTAACAGAGGTATTAAACTCTTCCCGAGGTTCCTGTAACAGATCGTTGCCTATTTCACATTTCGATTGAACTTTCGTAATTGTTGTCTTAGAATTCGGATGATTCGAAATGGAATCCGCCCGGACATTTCTAGCTGCATGTGTATTAATATTTGGTTGATTGCGAGGTAAATTTTCGTTTGGTGCATTAAATTGTTGGCGATTTTCCTGGACACTGTTATGGCCTAAAAAATGGTAAAAACCATTTTCATTCATGAAATTAAATATGTATAAAAATACCTTCAGTGACATCTAAGATTTTTTCATCTATAGTATTCGGATTTGGATTTTCTTCTAGTCCCAGTGCTCTAGCGAGTACATTTTCGGCAGCATTTTTCACTAGAATATCTTCCACTGAACCGCCCAAGTTCTAAAATATTGTTTCTAGCGCAACATAAAAATAGAAATCACCGGAGAACTTTGCTTGATTACTTTAACATGGGCAGGTTCCAGCATAATTCGTCCATTGCGAACCATAACAGGGCCTATAATTTTCAGCTTGGTACCCGGAGGAGAGTTTATGTTCAGACAAGCAACTGCTTTAAATTCCATCGCTTCAACCTCTTGAACTCCATCGGTTAGAGTGAGTTGTAGAACCTAAATTTATACATCGTCCGCATGTATTTTACTAACTTGATAAGCACGTTAAGCTCTATTAGAGTTTGCAAATTAAAAATAACTGCAGCTAGTTGGAAACATTAAGAGATTAGAGTGATAGATGTCGGACATTCTCCAATCTTCAAGCAAATGAAATGTTTTTTGATAATATGTTTACAGTTTAGGCTAATATCCATTAATGTAATTTTTTTGTTCATATAGTGTTAAATTTTACACATGGGTATTCAACTCCAATAACTTGTCTGGCTTTTAGCTATTATTGCGATGCTATTTGTAATTTTAGTCATGGAATATTGATAAAATTATACATTCTATAGCGAATCCAGTTGCATGAGAATTTATTTTGCTTTCCAAATAATGTTTTTAAGTTTGTCAGCTGTCTCACCCGTTTCCCAAAGTCTTTTTCAACTTCCGTATTTTTGCCCACTTTGTTTCGTATCCTCTGTATTTGCCACAGTTTAGGTTTAGATATATCTATAACTTGCAGCACTTGAAGATAAAAAACCCCCGTTAAAGTGTACTTCTTTTCTGAATTAAGGCCTTCAGGTAAGGAAGGTATCTCGACATCTCTTAGATCTAACAAACAATATATGATTGAATAGTAGGAAATGGCTTTTTTCGAGAATTTTATTTTCTAAAATTCAACGAAATTTAGATGATGAATTTAGTCCCAATCTATGGCTTAAAGGAAAATCGTAATAACGTATGAAAAATACCTATGTGGTTAGAAATGCGAAAACTATTACATTTCTTAGTTCTATGTAATTAAGCAAGAAGATCGAGAGGGTATAAAATTTTTTTATAGAATGAAGAAATGTTTAATAAGAAAAAATGTAAAATAACTTGTAACATTACATTACTTTCACACTTTTTCACTGATCATTTGCAGCATTTTTCGCCAAATTTCTCCAAAATGATTTAAATGGTTTACATTTTAGAAAGAAAAATCTACACTTAAGAGCCCTGTAGCTCCAAAGCCGCCTAACATAGGGCAATCGTAAAATTTCTTTTTTTTTTTTTTTTGTTGAAGAAATATCTTTAGACTTTAATATCCTCATGAACATTGCATGTAAAAACGTTCTTAAATATTCGGCCCTTCTGACTTGTGTAAGATAGACTTACCTAATAACAACCACTGCTCATATATCATATTCTGAAGATGCTTTATACTGTAATTTGTAGGTAAATTATCTTGTTTGCACCATTCTATGCAACTTTCCAGCCATTCCTTTGAAAGGGGCATTTGGAATGAATCAAATATCCGCTTTATTTGGTGCAGCTCGGAAGTCATAATTAACTCTTAGATTGTAAGGTACTTGTAAAAAGTATTTCAAATAGAGCAAATTTAGAGCTCAATTTAAATAATCATAATAATAACAATAAATAAGCAAACATTGGTAGGTTAGGGTACTGTTGTCAACAGCGGGAGTTGCTATAGACTCGCACTTTGACGGATTTTTTGCTTCATTGTACTGTGGCGAACTCTATCCGCCACTT